TTACTATGGGATCAAAGAACCCGGGCCTTTTAGAAAATGAGATCCGAAGCTCTTTGCACTTATCAGAATTCAAGTGAACTCTATTTTCTCGTGACCACTCAATAACACAATCTGCTATATTTTGGGCGTGACTTTCACTCTCTTTTGGTACCATCTCCGAGGCTGTTGTATCATCAACGTATTTCCATAGTGGATACGCGATTTCAAGGTCATTTATCATAAGCACAAATAACCATGGGCCCAATTTTGTGCCCTGTGGTACTCCGGAGGGCACAGATCCCCACTCCGAAAAGCACTCCGCAGCCAGCTTAATTCTTTGTAATCTATCAGAAAGAAAATCAACTATCCAATTGGTAATACTAACTGGCAATTTACACTTAGTACGCAATTTTCTAATCAGAATTTCATGGTCGATAAAATCAAAGGCCTTTCGATAATCAAATAAGATTGTTCTTACGGTAGCGCCATTTCCATCAGTGTTAATAGACCAATTATGTAACATGCTAATTAAGGCCATAGTCGTGGAGGAATTTGGTATCGCCCCGTATTGGCTGTCGTCAATGATACTCATAACTGCTGGTTTGACGTAGTCGTCCACAATAAACCCTTCTGCGACCTTAGAAATGCAGGGAGTAAGCGAGATAGGTCTTAGGTCCTTTTTCAGTTCCTTTACTGATTTCTTTTTGGGCAGGGGTGTCACGTCAGCCAACTTCCACATTCTTGGTAAATGCTGCTCGGAGTAGGAGGCATTAAGGATTTCCGTCACTGGGAAAGCCACTGCATCTGAATATTCCTTCAGTAGCCAATTGGGAATTCTATCAGGCCCACACGCTTTCCCAGGGTTAAGGCGAGACAGAACCTTCTGAACACGTTGTTCACTTACGCGCAGGATCTCTGGTGTTATATCAGCCTCCATGGGGAGAAACTCTAGTGGAGTTGGCAGCCTGTACTCCTCCAGCGGTTCTAATAACGCGGCATTGATGGTGTTGGCCTTTTCTTTTAATGACAAATCTGAAAAACCTTCCACGTCAATCTGGCTCGCCATTTTTTCTTTTTGAGCCGCTCAAACGCTTTACTTCGTCTCACCATTTCTTTGGGGCTTCTTGTCTTAAATTCTGAATTCTCACTTCATAATATTTAGCTCTGCGTGCCTCAGTTTCTTTCCCGGTTAACCAGATTTCGGAAGAACTTGAATTGGGCAGAGTCGGCGCCATATGATTTGAACGCTTTTTGTCTTTTCATTATCATTGACTTCAGCTTATGGTCAATCCGTGGAGCGTCCGCACTACACGTGCGAATTTCTTTCTCAGGCATCAGAATATCAAGCCCTGTATGTACAGAAGTGTGGAAAATCTCCCACTTTTCCTTTTTAGACCTCCTTTGAAGCGTAAGGCTTTTTATTACGGCTGAATAAAGGTTGAACTTTTCTCCAAATTGTATTCTGGATGTTAATGACTAGGCGATCTTCTTTAGTCCGTGAATGTAGAGTTCTAACGCTGGGCCCAGCTTGTTAGTTTTCTTTGCAGAATGTTAAATTATCACGTTTTATGCATGATTTTAGCATGATTTACAGATCCACTATAAAAAGATTGAAGTGCATCTTAAACGGAAGCTACATCAACTCTGTGACTTAGTAAACTCCAGCTTAGTTTTTTTCTGAAAATAGTGTGACTTGACTGGAGCGCGTAGTCCCTTCCTTTGATGATAGCTTTAAATAAGCTTAACAGTCTTTGGAATTTTTCGCATTTTGTATTTTATTCTTTTCTGTCTAAAAAGAAAATATTTCCTTGAACAGGGCATTTGGGCCACAGTCTTAAACAGGGTCATGAAAAACACACGGACTGTTTCTCATACTTCAACCTGCAACCTGCAACCTGCAACCTGCAAATTACACCCTCCGCGTCTTATAAACGAGTACTTTCACGTAATTTTCATTTTGGGAACTTGGCTTGATTAAGTTGCTAAGTTTGGGGCGCGTCTTATAACCGAGAGCGCCTTATAACCTAGAAACTCCAGAATCAAGAATCCATCCAAGATGGTCTATTTTTGGTATTCGTTTTTAAGACATCTAGTTACAAAAAACCCCAAACAAATCCAACCTTAAAAAATGGGAGTAACTTGCCTCCATTTCTGTAAAACAATGACTGATGCAAAAGTTTCTTCATTGATCCGCAGTGCTCTGATTCCAAGAAAATTGTGTAACTTACGGTCTGTCACGTGATCTCAAAAGGAAGAGTAATGGCTCAAACAGAGATTCTGGTGCCGTTTCTTTATTGACACTTGATTGGATGTCTGGGACGTAATATATTTTGTGTATAAATTTCCAAAGCTTATATCGTTGGTATCGTTGTAATTCAATTGACAAGAAAATTCCCTAGACAATTATCTTGAAAGAAAAAAATACGGTAATTATTCAGTGTTTTTGGGTGGTTTACTTTCAAATCGATTCACAGCTGTCAGAGGAATCGTAAGAGATGATCACAAAAGCAAATGGAAACTTCTGAGATAACAATTAAAGAGGAAATAACTGCTACATTTACAAGTACTGTTTGTATTTTGGTATTCATCAATTCGCCATATGCATTGGGCCCTGTCTTGGCCAACATCTTTATGTGTGATTTTGAAGAAAAATGTTTGACGAATACCAAAATTAGTCCTTCGTTTTGGAATCGGTACGTTGATGACACGTTCACCATGTTTCACGACAAAGACAGTGCAAATGAGCTTTTGCACTATTTAAAAAACTGTCATAGCAATATTAAACTTACCATTGAATTTGAACAGAATAATGCAATTTCTTTTTTTGGACATTCTTGTCACACTTAATCAAAACAACACTTTCATGACATCCATCTACCGAAAGAAAACTTACACAGGTCTCTACTTGAATTGGGATTCCTTCACCCCACGAAAGTACAAAATAAACCTCATCCGCTCCCTCACTTATCGCTACTACCGTCTTTGTTCGTCTGGCTCCTTGCTACAATCTACCCTCGATGATCTTCGAAAACTCCTTCTTCAGAACGGCTACCCACAAGGCATAATCAACTATCATATCAACGATGTGTTGAACAAAAACAGACATCAGCATAACATCCCTTTGTCTACAGTTCCTAAGAAAGATATCATTATCCTACTTCCCCACTTAATTAGGTTTGCAAAGCAACCAAGTCGCTAAACGCCTGAAATCATGTTTGTACAAATTCTATTCTTTTGTTAACCTAAAAACCGTTTTTCAGAACACTCGATGCACGAAGTCTTTCTTTCCTTACAAGGACCATATTAATCGTTCACAACAATCCAGAGTTATTTACAAAGCAAATTGCTGGAATTGTAATGATTGTTACATTGGTAAAACTAAACGACGGCTTCACGATAGAAAAACCGAACATTTTAAAGCCCTCGCTAAAAATGACAATACTTCAGCCATTGCTGACCACGTCAAGGTCACTGGACGTACAACGTTCTTCCCAAATTCTTTAAGAACTACTTTATCATAACACTGTAAAGATAACCTTTCAGGCTTACAAAGGAGATTAACAACACTGTTTCAGCAACGCTCCTGTGCTCAAAGTATATCTCCACCGAGTTTAGTCACAAAATCACTGCCTCAATCCGATGTGGTTCAGCTCACGTGACAGCTGACACAGCACACATAATCCGCAGTATTGAACCACGCAGTAATCATTGCACAGGGAACCCTGAAAATAGAAAAAAAAAATCAAATTCAACTCAAATAATTGCAGGTTATTAATTTTTGGCACAAGAATGTTCTCCAGCGATTGCTGATCAACGCATTTCTTGATGAACACCCTCTAGGCGAGGGTAAGAGATATGGAACAGTGTATAATCGCCTGTTATCTTTTGGTATGAAAATATTTGGAAATTTTTAACAACCAGAATCTGCGCTAACCTAGGACTGACATAGAGGAGTTTACCTGAATGTTCTCCTGTGTCCTGAGTTTGATCCTCAGCCCCAACAAAGCACCAGAACAACAAGTCGCAAAGCAACAACCTTCACCCATTCTCTGAGACACATCACAGAGTAGAATACAGGGGCAAAACCACCCCATAAAAACTACAAGAAAACAAATCGGGAACAAAGTGTTTATCGTGTGAGTAGTACAGTACAAGACTATTTTCGATATTCCAAAAGTTACGGATGAAAATTTATAAAATGACAAACGCAATTATATGTCATTTGATAGCTTGAGATCCTATGCTTACGCAATGGGCATTAATGAAAATTTATAAAAATGACAAACGCAATTATATGTCATTTGATAGCTTGAGATCCTATGCTTACGCAATGGGCATTAATGAAAATTTATAAAAATGACAAACGCAATTATATGTCATTTGATAGCTTGAGATCCTATGCTTACGCAATGGGCATTA